GAGACTCCATCTCAGAAAAAAAAAAAAAAGAAAAAGAAAAGAAAAAAAATGCCCAAAAAAAAAAAAAAGTCTCGTAATGTTTTCAGAAAGTTTACAAATTTGTGTTGGGCCTCATTCAAAGCTGCCCAGGGCCACATGCAGCCCAAAGGCCGTGGGCTGGACAAGCTTGGTCTATAGGAGAGTCGCCTGATTGGGTTAGCCTCTTACACAGAAGGAGGTGTCATGATCTGTGAGGGTTACTCGTCCTCACACCTAGAAAACAAAAGGAGCTGTCATTCCCAGCCTGGTTTTCCAGCACAGTCTAGATGGGAGGTGATGGCAGGGTTACCAGAAGACTGCTGGTTAGATTGAACAGAATCCCATAGTCCTGAGGTTGGAAGGGACCTTAGGGAATCCCTGTTGAGCCTCCCTGAGGCTATTGCTGCCTGCTCCCCTCCCCCACATGGCTATATCCCCTCATCCAAGGCAGGCTTTTCCACTTTCATCACCAGCATGTTCCTCCTTCATGCAGCCTAAGCCAGATCCATTTGCTTTATTCATCTCTGGCCTAGGCTTGCCCTTCCTAGCAACCCAGAACACGTGCTTACCGCTCCAGAAGCAGTAAGTCACAAAATCCTCAGATGACCCCCGGCAGGAGTCATGGAAGTCCCCATTTTATAGATGAAGCCCACCAGGCCATGAGGCCAGGCCAGATCCTGACATCACAGGAAAGGGGCTGGCAGAGGACAGGACTCACACATTGGTTGTGAAAACTCCATAAATGAGGTCCTGCTCCGGCAAGTGGAAGGCACTCTGCAGCTCGTTGTAGTAGAAGGGGACCTCGCCCGGGCGGGAGCAGTTGAGCCGGGCCTTCATGAATGTGGTCCACGTGTCCTCCAGCAGGAATCGGCCCCCCACGTCATTCTTGCACACGCGGGCCACGCGAGAGTACACGGTGCGTCCACAGTCATGCTCCACTGCGTTCTCCCGCAGGAAGAAGTATGCAAACAGCCCAATATCATAGGCTGCCACGAAGTTTGGCTCTGGGTGGGCAGAAGAGGAACAAGGGGCAGGCAGGCCAGCGGGGAAGAAGAGGGCAGAGTCAGGAGGACTCAACCACTTCAGTTTTCCCAGATGGGCACCTGACACCCCTCTCCCTGCAAGCTTGGTGGCCTGGGGACCCTAACTAACTCTCTTCCCACTTTCAATACCAAGTGCAGCTATAATATTAAACATGTGTCACCGCACACCTCTCACTGGGTGCCAGACACTATCCTAAGTACTTTATGCGGATTAATCCAGTCCATCAACAGATGAGGTAAATCCTATGATTATCCCCATATTATAGATACAACATTGCGGCACAGAGAGCTTAAGTACTTGCTCAAGGACACACAGTATTTAGGTTGGTTCAAAAGTAATTGCAATTTTCGCCATTACTTTTAATGGCAAAAACCGCTATTACTTTTGAGCCAACCTAATAGTTAGTGAGGAAGCAGGGGTTCAGTCCCAAGGGTTAGGAAACTCATATGGCCCTTTCCATAACCTCTCTCTCTTTCTTTCTTTTTTAAGAGGCTGGCTGTCACTCTTTCGCCCAGGCTGGAGTTCAGGGATGTGATCATAGCTCATTGCAGTCTCAAACTCCTAGGCTCAGGGCATCCTATCACCTCAGTCTCTTGAGTAGGTAGGAACACAGGCATGCATCACCACGCCTGGCTGATTTATTTTTTATTTTTATTTTTAGAGGCAGGGTCTTGCTATGTTGCCCAGGCTGGTCTCCAACTCCTGGCCTCAAGAGATGTTCCTGCCTCAGCCTCCCAAAGTATTGGGATTACAGGCATGAGCCACTATACCTGGCCCCATAAGTTCTTCTTATCCATAACTTGTTTTCCTAAACAATTCCTAATTATCTCCCTCTCTCCTAATAGCCCACCCTCCATCTGTTCTGGGGCCTCGGGACATCATCTGTGATTTCATCTGGGGCTCATCTCCAGCATGCTCTGGTCTACACTGCCCTACTCTGGACCTCTTCCTTGATAAGGCAAGTGGGAGCGCTTGCAGAGGTTGGCAGGAAGGAGGATGAATGGGGGGCTCAGGGTAGGCTGGTGGGATCAGAACCAGGGGAGTCCCCACCCCTGGCACTGGGGCCTCCTTACCATTGAGCCACTTGGAGTTATACTGGGCAGTGCGAAGCGGTGGCCCACTGCCCAGGCTGCGGTAGATGGCAGGGTCCCGACCTGAGAAGTCGATGACCGTGGCCGCATAGAGCTCCCCCTGGGAGGAGATGACAGCTGTGGAGTTGTGGCGTGGGTCGTAGGGGCAGCGGGCCACACCATTGATCTTCTCAATAGTCCTGCTGATGTTCCCCACCTGGGGACAATGGGGAGAAGGGGACACTTTTCCCTGAGGCCCTGGGGCTGCCTGTTCTTTCCATCTGAGTTTTGTTTCTTCCTGGGCCCGGGTCTCTCTGGGTCTCTCCCCTCCTCCAGCATCATCTCACTGCCCAGCTCACGGTCCCTCTGAGGGAGCAGCCCTCAGGGAGGGAGAGGTCCTCCCAGTAGCTCCATCAGCCTCCAGCCCCAGTCAGGACCCTCCAAGGTAAGGCTGACCAGTAAAATACAGAAGGCCCAGTTCAATTTGAATTTCAGATGAACAGGGAATACATTTTTAGAATAAGTCTATCCCAAACACTTCATGGGGCACATTTATGCTAAAATATCATTTATTGTTTATCTGAACTCCAACTCTAACTGGGTGTCCTTTTATGTTTCTGTTTTGGGTGTCTGTTTGTTTGTCTGCAAAATTTGGCAACCCGCCTTCAAGGCTGTGTGCCTGGGCAGGAGAGCCCCCGGCATGGTGCCCCCTTCAGTCTGCTCCACCCTGAGCTGCCCACCTGTCTGCTGGTGCACACGGGGGAAAAGGCATTGGTCCCACACATGAACACCTTCCGGCCGGTGACGATCAGGACTCGCACGTAGTTCTGACACTCCTCCTGAGGCAGGAAGGAAAGGAGCAGACAGCATAGCTCTCCAGGTGTGATGCTGGGTATCTCACCCTCACACCACTGCGTCATGAATGCCAACAAGTCTTCTAAAACACTTCCCTTGACCCCAGATCTACCTGTCCCGATGTCCAGGTCACATCTGTGGACGTCCCCTCCCACCAACGTCATCTCTCCGCCTCACTGCTCACTCAGATGCTCAGGACCAACTGGCCACAGAGCTATATCCCCACCTGCCCAAGGAGCCCCAGCTCATCCTGGCCAAGCCTCTCCAGCAGGGGACCTCACGTCCACACAGTGCCACTCCATCCCCACAACCACAGGCCTCCTTCCAGCTCCAGGTGGGGCCCCCGGACTGCTGAGACCACGTACCTCCGTCTTCCCTTTGCTTTGGCAGGAGCGGCGCGTGTCCTCACTGGAGGCCCACTCTGTGGCCTGGGGGAGGAACACAGGAACACACAGACATCACATGGCTGTGTCATTCACTGCCACTCGCCACCAGAGCAGGCAGCAGCCGGTGTCGGGAGTTGACAGGAAGCTGTGAAGGAGGGATGGTCTGCAGGGTGAGGGCTCCTCTCACTACATCCACATGGGTCTGGGAGGGCTGCCCAGTCTCCTTACCCAGAGGCCTTTCACGGGTGGGCACCCTCAGTCCAACACCCACACTGCCTGCTTGGGTCAGAGGCAGCCTGGAGGAACAGCTTCTGAATCTTTCATCATCCCCACGCAGCTCTGCCCTCGGAGTCAGCCAGGGAGCTGGAAGTGGCCGAAGGACCTTCAATCCCAACCCAGGCCCTGAGTGGGAAATGCGCCTATTCTGTGCCAGATGGCCCTCAACTGAGTGGCAGGCAGGAAGGGAGAAAAGATTTGGCAAACCCTGAATGTAGGAGATTTAATTTTCTAATGACAACTCTGGGCTTTTTTCTTAACAGATGGGGAAAACCAAGGTTCTGTGTGACCTAAGCAAGTCACACAGAACCTCGTGTAGAGCAGGGACTGGAACCCACATTTCTGATTCCAAAGGCTATGTGTGTTCCCATAGTCTTAAGGGCTAGGACTTCCCCTTTCCTAATTGCTGTCCTTCCTCCCACCCCCACTGTCTGCACTTTCCTTCCAGCTTCCCTGGTAGCATCACTCATGCTCTGCCGTGGGGTAATGTGTTTGGGAACACAGCTTTCATGTGGGGACCTGCAGGATAGTGCCATGTTCTCACATGCCCATGGCATTAGGAGAGGGCTGTCCCCAACCCAGGATCCCTTCTTCCCCTTCATCTGTTCTGCCTCTACTCTCTCTGAACAGCAGCTGGAGGGAGGTGTGATGCCCTCCACGTCCAGGCAATGTCAACAGCCCTTGTGTGGTTCATTATATATTTCTGGGTCACATGTATAAACATGAACTGCCTACCTGTCCTGGGAGAGGGAACCCTGAGCAAGCAGCTCTGTCATCCAAATGGGGAGGGAAAAAAGAGCCCACCTACTTTTAATTTCTAACAAAGCTGTTTCCAGCCATGAAGTCACTGCCTGCAGATCTCCAGAGGCCGCAGTGTGGGAGGGGAGGCAGGGGGCTGAGAGAAGGAGTAGCAGGCCTCTCTATGCCTTCCAGCCCACAGCCAACCTGCACCGGCGATGGCTGCTTTGTAAGGCAGAGGGAGGCTGACTCCTGCACACCCTGGATTCGGGAGCTGAGTGACGAATTTGGAGCCCAGGATTCTGTGTCTCCCAGACCTTGGAGAAGAGCAAAGGACCCTGAGTCTGGCCACAGAGCCACGGTGTTCATCTGGACAGAAACAACTGAGCACTGTCATACTCAGGACCCATCATCTCCCAGGCTGAGCCTGATATAAGAGAAGAGAGGGACATAAATAAGAAATCTCGGGGCCTCTGGGGCTAGAAAAGAGCAATGAGCCACAAATATTGCAGTTGCACAAGCCCAAAGCCCCGGACGGTGGGTGGCTTTGGGAGGACTGCATGAGCAAAGGGTCCTCGAGTCTCTGAGCAGAGGTCAGCCTTGATCCCATTGAAGGGGGGCTGTATCATAAAAGGAGTTAAAGTTACGCTGGACTCAACAATGGGACGGGCACTGTGCCAGGGACTTGACACACTTTTTCTCTTTGATCCTCACAGATAACAGTGAAACACGTAGCCTTTTGCTTGTTCTATAGGGAAGAAAACTGAAGTCCAGGGAGGCGGAGCAATTTGCCCAAGGTCACACAGCTAGTAAATGAGAAACAAGATGCGAATCCAGACAACTGACACCAGAACGAAGCTCTTTCTGCTATATCCTGCAGCCTCTCATGGTGAATAGATTTCTCTAACCAAAAGTTAGACCATATGCCCCAAAAAGAGGATATGTGTTTATAGAGAGAACAGCACAGAATGGCTTTTTTGAGACCATTTATTTATTTTTAATTCATTTCAAAAATTATTTTTATCAAATTAATGATGCACAGAGTTTAAAAAGTTAAATAGTATTAAAATGTATTAATTAAAATCCTGGCGACCCACTCCTCCTATACCCCACCCCTTTTCCCAAGGACAACCACCTTCACTTCTTTTAGTTGTTTCTCTGTTTTTTAAAATTGATTTCTAAAAAAGATGTATCAGTCTCAGGCTTCATCTTTTGAATTCCTGTTATGGAGGTGAAGATTTTTCCCACTTACCCACCACCATTCTTCCCAACACCAAAGCACACATAACATTTCCCGTCTCCCCATCCTCCCATTATAATGACAGTTTTAATTAAAATCAACATTGGTATTTACAGCCAGTACCCCAGATTTCACTGAATGTATGGCACCATCAATTTGTAATATGAACCACTGAGAAAGAAAATTGCTGCCAATCAAATGTTCTTATTAGTTAAAATTTTAACGTAAACATATTGAAAGTGCTCTTATTTAGACATATGTTTTATCATATATCAATCTCGTGCACACAAAAAACATACGCAAAATTGAGTATCCTTAAACCTTTGAATTGAGCATTCATCTCTTCTGAATCACTTTTTAGAGTTGTCAGTGCTCATTTTGTTGTTTGTCTGTTTGGAGAACCATTCTTTGAACTACCTCGGTGTCAGTGTTGCAGTAATTCTTACAGAGCATTCCACTCTGGTCTCCACAATTTTCTTCCATACCATTGACCTCATCCTGCAAGTTTGGATGCTTACAGAATGGGCGCCATACCAAAAGATGCCCACAGGTTTCTGACAAACCAGGACTCACATTCTTCCCTCGTGTAATCCTAAAGTGGTTTGTGGACTGAAACGTCGAGGGTTTGCTGTTGTCTGGTGAGAACACCAGAAAAAATGACTAAGTTCATACCTGCACGGGCATGACAACATCAAGACTGCACCTGGCTGATAGTGACTGTCAGATGTCTTTGACTGAAAGACACGTCCCGACTTCAGACTCATTGAAATGTGAAAACATGTGCATGTGAGTGAGAATCAATGAAATATTCATATTCTGATAAGGTTTTCTTATTATTTGAGCAACGTTTTGTTTTTCCTGGACTGAATAATTGTCTTGATTGTCTCCATTTGCTTGTTTTGCGTGGACCTATCACCGATTTTCCCCAAATGTCCAACAGGTCTTACACATCCCTCTCAATATGATTTTTTTTTTTTTTTCTTTTTTGGAGACAAGGTGTTGCTCTGTCGCCCAGGCTGGGGTATAGTAACACAATCATGGCTCACTGTGGCCTCGACCTCCCGGATGTTAGTCCAAACTGCACCATTTTAAGCTTCCCCACTATTTTGCAAACCTTGGTCAAAGCGAAACATTTCCCAGGCATTCGGGCTGTGAGAAACATCCTTCCTAACCACCTGACCACAAGGTAAACAAAGGCCCAACTAAAGAAACATCCCTGTCATAGCTCACTGGGCAAAGGTCCAAGGAACACCATGATGACATTCCATGGGAATAAGGGCCAGAACCGCCTCATCATGGGAACATCTTATCAATATCCCACCGGGCAGCAAGCCATACTACCCAGACCCCTCCTGCCCACACCTACAAGTACCCCCAGCCTGCAGGCAGCAGTGCGCTCTGGCATTAGGCTAGTTTCCCACTTCTATAGGTTTTATGCTGGACATAAAGCCTGCATTTGCTGTTGAGCCACCCTCTTGCTATGTGTGTGTCTTTCTTTAACCTTCACCTTCCCTTCAAAACCTAACACTGAGCTCAGGTGATCCTCTTGCCTCAGCCTTCCAAGTAGCTGGGAACACAGGTGCACATCACCACACTTGGCTAGTTTTTAAAAGTATCTGTACACACAGGGTCTTGCTATATTGCCCAGACTTGTCTCATACTCTTGGTCTCAAGTCATCTGCTCCCCTCGGCCTCCCAAAGTGCTGGGATTATAGGTGTAAGGCACCATGCTGGCCTCAATATGATTTTCTTACTGCACGCACAAATGATTCCGATAATCTGCGAGTTCCCATCCTCTTCCTCATCTCCCAACCTCCATCCTCCTGCTCAGTGTTCTGGCTGCTCTTGAGGCCTCCTGCTTGACTGTTAGCCTGGGACTTACCTTCTTTCCTCTCCTGCTTTCTGAATCCCATGTTTCCCTCTTTCTTGAT